TTTTTTTTTTTTTTTTTTTTTTTTACAGATTACTCACCTGCAATTTTTTCGCCAGCTGGTTGCACTTCCTTATTGTTGCCACTGTCTTCATCTTCCTGGATAACAGTCACTTCTTCCTCCTCCTCCTCCTCTTCTTCCATGTCACTGTCCAAGTACCCAATCAGAAGTTCAGTGTCTGTTTCAATGTCTTCCACAGCCAGATAGAAAATATTTTCCCCTTCCTGTTGCAAACAGTAAGTAGAAGCAATGAATAATTACGTCAGAAAAATATCCTGAACTAAAATTAGCCCTCAACTATGGACGGGCTGGCTCCACTCCACAGGGAGCACACCGCTAAAACAGCCTTTCTGAGACTGCTTTCCCAGTGTGGCTGCATGGATAAAGTGCCCTTATATTCTGGTATTCTGGAAATATTCCCCTGCCTCACTTGTGAGGCTTTTTCAATATACACTGTAGCCTAGACCAAGGTGAAGGTGCTGTTAAAGTCCTCTTCTCCTGCCACACTCTGCCTGACAAGAACTTCAGAGTTTGAAAATGAAACATTTGAGTATTAGAAAAATAACAAAATTTAAATAACCAATACAGCTTGAGCTCTGTGCCCTGTTGGCTGCATGAATTATAACACAGCTTTCAGTAGCATGTTTACATCGTGTTATTTTTTTTTCTTCTCTCTCTCCTTAAGATCCCAGCTTTCTTCATGAAAAGCCTTTTAACCTTGGTCAGTTATCTTCACCATCAAGTTAGCAGGCACACCTGTAAAGCACACTTTATGCCACTAGATCAAATCCCTCTACTTGTTTCAATCAGTGTAGATACACAGATCTACAGATGGCCAAAGATCCATCCCCAGATTCCGCATGAGAGGACAAACCGTACAAAAATAATCTTCGAAACCTTCTCCACAACGAATAAAAAAATTTCCAAATAGATACATAAGCTAACAACTTTGGTCTTTGACAATGTTTAATTAAAGTTACTAAGGTTGACGAGTGAGGGTGGGGGACGTCTCCTAAACTGACGCACAGAGCTGCTATTTTTTTGTTGTTGTTGAGGTGGTTTTTTACCACAGTTGAACCAACCGTTTTAGGTAATATCTGAAGCACCAAAGGAAACTCTTTTTTTTACGCAATGAAGACTTCCAGTTCTATCATAAATCTTAAAGCTTATCTGATTAACATCCAGAAAAGTTAATTGAAGCTTCTTTACACTACATCTAGCCATATATTTTGTAACAAGCTTCATGGCACAAGGGCAAGATAATGATTTTTAATTTCTGTAATATACTAAGATTAATTTAAACTGTCAACAGGGATGTAGTATTCCTTGAGTTTTAGAAGGTCTGTTATATATTACACAAGACATTGTCAGACAAGAGCAAAACCCATTTAATTCAATAGACTTGATAGAGCTACTGCTTTCAAGGACACACTTTCTGTCCTTATCTGAACAGCAGCATTTGAAAACAAAACAAATTGTGTTTTGGTTTTTTTCTATGATACATTCTGCAGTCCAGATACCTATCAGCATGCCACCCTAACTTTTGCATACATCTAGGAGTTGCTGTTTTTCATGCGCCTGTCAAGGTGTAGAGACCTTTAATTTACTATAGTCTAAACTCAAATCGCATAGTGAAACTCTTGACATGGGGAAAGTAAAAGGTCTTTCTACACTCAGTCTCCACTTGGACAGGATAAAACCACTGGGGTAAACCTCCAATACATCATTGTTTAGGACAACCTTATTTTAAAAGCAAGACAACCTTATAAATGGAAGCACATACCCATTACTGGCTTGCCAAAAAAACAGAACATTAAAAAAAAAAAAAAGTAAAAAATAAAAAGCCATGTTTCCCAGACCAAAATAAAGCCCTGAACTTACTCATTGAAGAGTCAAATAGCACACTTTTCACTTAGATCATATGAGACACACCTTGTACCACACAGAAAGTCTGGGAGAACAGAAACCAGAACTGATTATTCAGCTTAACCTAGACCAACTACATGAATCCCAACCAAGCTCTTATCAATACTGCTGCATCCTCACCGTGTCTGCACTTCCCTCGTGCTTATTTTATAGCTATTTGTGCCTAAAAAAAATCCTGGTTCTTTTCTGTTGGTGTACTTTTGGTTATTAAAAAGATTAATGGACAAGTACTAGACACGCAATGCTTGAGTGATTTGGTTGCATTTGCATTGAAAAAAAATTAGCTTTGGTGCCAACCCAAACTAAAACACAGCTCAAACTCATTCTTCCTCACACGCTAATTTGTTTGGCTTTTCCAGCCAAACACATGCTAATAGTCAGGTATTCAGAGTGCTAATTAATCCAGATATACCCACAGTGTAGCAGCTCCTCAGGCAGCATTTTCAGTGAAAGCAATGGAAGTTCTCCAGAACCACAAAGGAAAAAGAGTCCCTCCCTCCACCAGCAATACCTGCCTGAGGCACATTTGTCTACATGAATGCAGACATAGACACAGTGCATGAAGTAAGAAATTTTTCTAATAATTTTAATAATCCTGCCATACACTAAGAACACATTTGCAGTTGTTTTTTAACAATGTTCCTCTGCAGCAGGCCACAACTGGAGAAAACTCCAAGCACTGCTCATGGTGGCATCACAACCTCCCTTCATGCTACTCCTGGTTCATTATGCCACTTTGCTTCTCTCACCTCCTGCCTTGACTTTCATCTTTTAAGTTATGGGCCACACTGACCTGAGAAATACAGTTTTCTTGTTCCAACAGCTCTTGCTGACCTATTTTACCTCCACTATAGGCACCTCTCTTACTCAGATTCTCAGCTTTTCCATGCAACTACACACCTTCACACGTGCTTTGTAGAAGGGAGGCTGAGAAGGAATATGGGCCAAGCAGCACTAACAGTCCATCACACTTTGATCCAAAAGTGTAAGACAGATACATGTCCTCAGACCTGAAAGCTGAAAATGCTGGAGGAGCGGGAAGCAGATAGTCTTGTGTTACCTGAGGGAGTATAGGGCTTTTCCATCCTCCAGAGTTTGACCAGCTGGCTCCAACCCAGCCATCCTAATCCTTATCAAGTTTTCCCCTGTGCCCACAACCACTCCTCTTAAAGTACTACACCAGCTTCCTTCTACATCCAATTTCCTGGCAGCAATGCAGATCTTCAGCCTACCTGTTCTGCCAGTTCTCCTTTGCTCACTCGCCAAACAAGCACACTCCCTTTCCTGATCTTTGCAGCTCCAGGGTGTCATGTTTGTGAGAGTAAAATCAATCTTGGCAAGGCCTGTGAGGACAGAACCCTCAGTGCAGGAAATGTGTGTAGGTGATTTCTTGGGGGTTGTAGCAGAAGACAAAGCCACAAGCTCAGGCACAAGACAGGTCAAAAAGGGTACAGAAAAAAGACATGATTAGAATAACGATGCCTTCCCAAGAGGGAGAGCAGATCCCTAGGGAAGAGTCGGCAAAGCAAGACAACCTTCCAGAAGTGCTTCTGGGGACAAGGAGACCCTTGCCCCTCTCAAGAAAGTAAGGCAAAATGGATGACAAAGAGACTGGGTGAAAGCTTTTCTTGTTTTCACACTAGTTCATACATTGGAAACAGCTTGACCATTTAAGGCATATATCCCTGTGCCACTCAGTCCCTGGGTGTGCAACATGTTTGTGGCTCTCATCAGGCAGGAAGCAGATGGAACCCAAAAAGTCTTCTCATCAAAAAAACAAAACAAAAACCAAAAAAAATCCCAAACAAACAAAAAAACCCCACCCACCTTCAACACACACATAATGGAGATGTTCAGCCCAGGATCTAATCCAAAGTATAGCACTTGAACCCACACACAAAGGAGACACAGAAGCCACGCTCTATCTACTGCTCTATTCCTATTGTGCTGTACTGCATGGTACAGTAAGCAACCTTTGAGATGTGAATATGAGATTAAACAGAGCAGCACGAGGTTAAACTAGTACTGCAATTCCTACATTTCCCCTGTGTTTTTACACCATACTGCAGTTTTTAGTGATAGCTCCCAGTGAAGGGTCTCTATAGAGAAGCACTGAAACTTTTGATTATTCCTCTCCCTGAAAGCTTTTGTTGTGAAAAGTGAAACAGTGATAGCAAGACTTGGGAAGAGAAGCCCTTAGAAATCCATGGAGAGATAACAATGGTAGATCTTTTTGAACCTTACTCTCACCACTCTATGCACCATCTTAGTATTAAGCAAGCCTAAAATCAGAAATTAGTTATATTTAAATTAAATAAATAAAAAAAAAAATTCTGTAACCTCGGTGCTGAAAAAGGTCTAAATGATTTTCACATTCAGAGTTGCTTGGTATTACAGAGGTTCCTACTGCAAAAATCAAAAATGTAACAGGTATATAGTTTAAGGAATTTCATGGATAAAAACACTTATTTCACTCTTCAGAAACTTCTCATTGTGAATTCTTCAGGTAACAGAATACCTGAACAGCACTAACATGTATTCAACAACAGATAAATGCATATGAGCCTGGAATTAAAAAATTCTTCTGTTTCCTACAAAAAATTCAAGAATTGAACAGATTTTTAGTCCTCCCCTCTGAGCACGCAGGAAGTCAACAACTATGTTCGCGTTCTTCTTACTTGGCATAACAGATTAATCTTTCCTTTGTAGCACTCAAGCCACCAGGAAATTTCAGTAGTCACTCAACTGTCCTGTAATGTGTAAGTTTGTTGAGCAGCCTAACACAGTTTGTGCTTGCTCTCCTTGTGCCTTCTCTTCTCACTCTTGACTTTGAGACAGTTCAGTTTTACTGTGCTTCTGACAGCGCTGTCTCTCACGTGCTAATCTTCCTCTGAAGACATTTACTGTCACTGCACGGGGAGGGGGGGCGGTTTCACCTCAGTCAACCAGGACATAATGGAATTATGCCACACTAACAAACACACGGTTGTGAAATATGACTTTAAACCACTCTACCACCTCCCAGTAAATATGCTCCTTCATGTTAATTTTTGCTGTTCACTATTCTAACTCAGTTTTCTAAGCTACAGCAGACTGTTTCAGTGTCTGCTTGCTAATGAAAAAACATTTTAATTTAAAGCTCTACCTCGCTGCATTTCTGCTTATAAAACAGTTCTGATGCTAACAACAGGATCTGTTTTGCATAGTAATCTCCAGCAGGGAGTCTTTAGTAAAAATCACAATTGACAAACAGATAAACTTCTCCATTCTGGATAAAGGAATATTGAAAATATAATACTCTACCAGTCTAAAAACTGAATAAACATAAGTGTGTTATTTTTGATAGGAGCCATTTCCTTTTTGTTATGATAATTACAATGCATTTTTGCTACATATCAGAAGTCATATTTATAAGCAAATAGCTAGGAATAGCCCATGGCAAAAGAGATTACAATTCATATGGTTTCTGTTAATGCAGAAGTTGTAATTCTAAAGCTACTTTAAATATAGTAGAGGATTAACTCATTCAATTGCTACTTGAAATAAGATAGAGATGCCTCCAGTAATTCAGCTGTGCAAAAACTTCAGAAAAGCAATTGGTACATATGCAGGTACCCTCCAATCTTTCTGTCCTTCTCTAGCAGCCACAGAGTGGTAGTACTCACAGCATAGCTGTTAAACATACTTCCTGTGCCTTCCCATTCAGTGGGTTTAGGAAATTTTTTTGAGGTCATAATCTGTATTCTCTTTTTTAAAAATTATTTTAGGTACTTGTTTAGCAATGCAAATTATTTTTTACCTTGAGTAATGATAATGAAGCTAAAACAACTTTACTAATGTATATGATGACTTTTTGCTTTTTGTAAAACACCATTTCATCATCCTGGGGGCAAGCAGCCAACGTCCAATTCAAATTAAAGGGTATTGTTAGTGGGAACATTCCACCAATGTATTGCCTGCTTATTTAATAAAACAAAGTGCTCCCGCACCAAGCGGTATTAAATCTGCTTAACACTAAAGGCCAATGGTTGTGTAATTAAAATACTGAAGGATTTCTGGGCTGTGTTGTTGTTTTTTTTTTTTTTCCCCTGAAGGAATAGCAGAGCTTTAGGAATTGCATCTCCATCTACTAAAGTCAGATTAAACCCTGCAAAGAAATACATGCATATTCAGTTTTCTTCAACACAAGTAGTACCTATTAATGTTATATGAAACTAAATACTTCTAGATCCACACAGCTTCAAGGTCACTCACATGGAACACAGAAGTTGCTTTGGCAGTCGATTATTGATGGTACTGAAAAAAACCTATGAGATAATTTAGTAATTTGTGTTTGTTTTCTTAAGTTTGCCTTCCCTATACTTTTCATTATTTTGTACATCCTGATCACGTTTATTCTATTTTTTCCTGTAACTTTTCCAAATGTTTTTCTGTAGAAGCTTTTATAAGACTAGTGTTCTTGCCACTCCTCTTCTTTTTAAACCCTTTAACTTCATCCTTTAACTTCAATATGATCCTTTAAAAAGAAGCATGCAAAAAGCACTAAGCACACTCTAAGCAAGGTATAACATTATGCAATATAGCAGAACAGTTCCTTTCCATTTCTTTATGTAAATAATCCTTTTCAGTATCAAGAAACCCACTAGTACACACTAGATATTCCATTAAAACTTCGATTCAGAAGTTTAGGTCATTTCACTGAGTGTTTTATTTAAAATGTAATAATGAACATTAATTGTTCACACTGCTCCCTCTTGTGAGCCTTACTTTGCATTTGCTAACATGGACTGTAATTCGCTATCACACTGCCTATGCACAGATGACATGCTAATCACTGACTAATGCCTAGCACTCTTCATGCATGAAGACCTTTCATATTTGCTACTATAAGCAGGACAACAAGCCTTTTGACAGATCTTGGTGTAACAGAGACAAAGACAGAAGGAAAACATACCGAAATAATTGCACAGGCAGTGGTCATACTAAATTAACTGTTGACTTGTCATAGACATCAGGAAAAGCATAATAAAGCAGTCACTCAGTGAGTGCTGACAAGAGTTTCTGCTGTATGAATGAATAGTGAACGCTCTTTATTATCTATTACTCAAAATTCAATTTTAGCCTGGATGTAAAGACCTAAAGAGGTCTGAACCAAAGACGATAACCCAGAGTACAGGCCCAGAGGAAAAGGAGATGATGAAGCTGTCCACAGTGAACTAAAACAGGAACAGCAACAGGGTCCAAGGAAACAATATCAGCAGCAAAATTGCAGTCACATTCAGCCAGCAGTATGTGATGGAATGTCACATAGATCACACACAGATCTTTGGAAATCAGGAGGTGCAAATGAGCTGAAGGCTGGCAGAGCACCTGTTAGGTTCCCCAACACGGTACACTGCTCATAGTAGCATTCAACTACCGTGATAAAAGAAGAAAAGGCAGACAGAAGAGGAGTGGTAAGAGATACAACAGTGGAATGGAAATCACAGAAAATCTCACAACAGGGATAGGAAGGTTGATAACCGAGTCTGCAGGGGACCTGGCAGCAGCAATCTCACCAGGCACTACTTGTTTAAGATCCAAATAAGCAAACAGTCTCTCTGGTGAGTAGAAGATTTAAGGAGTTGGACAGGTCATCAACACAGAAATTGAAATGACTACTGAGGAGTGACACTGAGTATAAACAGAGGGGAAGTGGCAGGGGGGAGAATAGCAATAATGCATCTTTCACAGAACTACATGCTAGGCCTTTACTAGTATTCTTTTGCTACTTAGTGGTTTTAATATTTTTTTTCCTGTTTTATTTAATCAGAAATGAACATTGTTTTCTTGGCAAGGAAAAATATTTTTTTTTCATTTGGCCTCAAAATCTTTTTTAATTCTTTTGTCAAGAATCTGCAGGTAAATCCTAGAAAATTCATATCATGATGAAAAAGCAGAATAATAATTTTAAGAAGTACTGATAAATAATTCTCCTTTTCCTAATTTTTTTCAAATTTGGGTTACATCTGCAAATAGCTTGGGTTAGCCTGAAACAACATTTTTGAAAGCATACATTTTGAGGAAAAAGTTTAACACAACTATGTAATTCTTACTTACGTGGGATTGGAAATTATTTTACTGTAAAAACTGAGCTATTGAAAAAAATATGCAGATAGTTCAATTCTTTCATAATCTCTAAAAGGACAATGGCCATAACTAGAAAAATATCGCTGTCTTTGTTGCATTCTGCAGGCACAGACTGCTTCCAAAAATGAGAGATTAAACAGACTAAGACTCTTCAGCTTGAGAAAAGAGCTGTCAAATAAGACAGAAAGGATATAATAGGGTTCTATAAAATCAAGGACGGCATAGAAAAATAAACATGAAGTAACTATTCACTGTCATACAAGGACTAGGGCATCAAGTGAATCAAGTGAAACTAAGAATTTTCTAGAAGAAAAAAAGAAGCACGTTTCAAAATAACATGCAATTAAAACAGTGGAATTCTGTTCAAAATGCAGCAAATGACAAATATAAAAATGTAAAAATAAGCTGGATAACTTCAGATCCTTGGCCAAGACTAGAAAAAGATCTTTTTTTATTAGCTTATCCTCAAGCACTGCCTAATCATCCTATCAGATAATGAGATCCTTCAATTCTCTGTTTTCTACTAGAATATTTTAAGAACCATGCTTGCTTTCAAACACGTCACTTACATTAAATTTTAAACTATAAAGCAAATGCACAATTCTACTTTCCACACAATCTAAGCCCATATCTGAGTTTAGCATGAACTCAACTAGGCCTCTGAATCACTAGTCCTGACTCAGCCAGGTATATAGTTACCTAATTATCATTTTAATTTCCACAATGACACAAAAACCAACTGCATTCAGGCAAAGAGAAAATGAAACTGTTCTTACAGTAGTAAGTAAAATACTCTGGGTATTTTTTTTTTTTTTAGAATGTAAAATGTTCACTTTAAGCCAGGAGAAATAGTTCATATAAGTGATCCAGTGTAATTCCATCACAGTGGATTCAGAGAATATCAGATTCTGAGGACCTCTTTGGTCTTTCACACTATCAATCTTAATTATGATATATATTTAAGCACAAAAGTTTACTTTTAAAAAGAAAGGTAGGAAAAGGAAGGCAGTTTGCTACTTTTCTCAGATCTTGCAATTTTATTACAAGAGATAAAGACCAAAGTGGAGATCAAATTAGTAAATTAATAACAGGAAGCAAATGGTAGGAATCCACCAAATATACCTGAATGGCTGCCAGATTCTTCTGTTCCTGTGATGGAGCCTCATGGACAAAACGCAGCCAATTAGAATGGCGTGGATTGCTTGCATCCAGGATATAAAGGACTTCACCTTTACTCCCACGAACCTGAATCATTAAAAAAAAAGAAATCAAGCAAAATTAAAATTGTTTACCAAACACACACAAACATGTAACACACTAATGCATGCTTGTGCTCGGCAAGTGAACCTTGCATTCAACAGGTACTCACAGCTGTGGTGCACATTCACCCTTTTCTGTAAGTATATTTATTCACCTAAGAATACTCAAACCTGACAGCTTACTTTATTGAGCTCCCCCTCTCTTTTTTCAGCTTTTCCTTTAGTAAACAAGTATTACAACTGATTCCTCGGTCTCCTTGATCTGACAGTATGGTCACTAGCACTCAGGTTCTTTCCTCTTTTTGTTCCTTCAAGTCCTTTTTCTTTATGATCTTGCCAGAAACCAATACAACCTGAGAGGTCCTTTCCTATTCCAACCCTATCAACCCTTTTCCAGTTTTCCTTTTTGAGTTCTCCTTCCTGTTTCTGATGCATTTTACTCCCACAGTCTACCTAATTCTTCTCCTACCTTCCTGTCTTTTGATATGCAGTCTGTCTCTCATCACTTTCTCCAAATTAAGGTTGTAAACTCTCCTGCCTCCAATTCCTTTTCCTTTCCTCTCAACTCGCTGTTATTGTCCTATATTCCTTCTCCAAAAGACTGTCCAAGAGTGGGCCACTTTCTTCTGTAACCTATACATGTCCTCTAACTCATGCTATTGTGCAGCATTTCTCTTCTGCTAACAGTACAAACAAGGTCAACAGTAACTTTCATCTGGACAAAAGGGATAGGACATTCTCCCATCCTGTGCTATTCCAACTACCATTTAGTTCCAAAATCAGAATTCAGGCACTTGTTCGTGAGTTTCTGCATTCCTGCAATCACCCATATCCATTCAGTGATCTTTGACTTGACAGCTCTTCACTTTTCACTTTCTTTTTCATATTTGATACTCTTCTAGACTCACTTGTCCTCCTTATGTTCTAGCAGATCCTGTTCGCCCTCTATGGCCAATTCCTAAATATATCTATTTCTGCCTACTTTCGCATTTCCAGAAGCACCTCAACCTTAACTGGCCATCATTACAGAAGGAGTACATCCATATCTGAATTCAACTTTTCCACTACCTTTGCCGCTTCCCTTTTCTTTAAACTTACCAGTTGCTCAACCAACTTCCAGCCTGAATTAGTTCTCCACTCCCATCCCATAATTCCATCCTCCTTTTGCTTCTTTATCACCAAATACAACTTTTCTTCTTCATACGAATTCCAAATCCAGTAGACATGCCTTCATTACTGTTAACTCTTACTGCCCCACACCAATCCTAAATATTGCAGGAGATTATAAAACACTTATTGAAAACCATATTCCTCATTTCCCTTTCACGTCTTCTATGAGTTTGGTTTTTTGGTTTTGGGTTTTATTTTGTTTCCCCCCCTTTACCATGGGTAAAATCCATTTTGCCCTTTGGATGGAGACATACCTCCAGACCAAGGACCAATATAATTGCATTTATTCGTTCCATAGAGCCTATTTTACAGTTCACTTGAACATCTTTTATATATGCCTCTCTAAAGGAAATTTAAATATGGAGCCTCAATAAAAAGCAGTTAGTAAAACTATACTTGGCTTAAGTTTTATCAGAATAGGAGATTATTTCAGCAAACAAATTAGCGTAGTATGTAGGGAAGAGTTGTACATTTAGTAGAAGAAACAAATGTTCAGGTTTTGTTCACTAAATGAAGGAGCCACTTTAAAAAAAAAGAATTGTGCATGCAAGATATGTTATGTCTGTATCGGGAGCCTTTGGATATCATTACAGATCCATACAATTTCAATGACTGACAAAAATCTAGCTTACATTGAAAAAAAAATAATAATAGAAATAGAAACTTAGTATTAACCAAGTCATTCTTTCCACTGAGGCAAAGACACACTGCTGTAAAAAACACAGCTGCCACTTTGCCATATAAAAAATGAATCTTGAATCCCCACTGATACAGAAGATAGGGAGCCATGCAAGAAGGTCATACAGCCCCACTATTATTCCATGTGATTTATTTCTATAATGAACTTATTTTCTTTTTCATCTGTCAACAAAAAATATCCAGAGCAGGTATTTCCTACGAGCTAGGGATTTCAGCTGTGTAAGATCAAAATTAGATTGTCTTCATGGTTTTGTATTTAAATTGCTCACATACTTGCTGTATTTGTTTCTACTAAATGCAATATCATATTTCTTGCTTAAATTACCTAAACATTTAGGATATCATTAGAAAGAAAAAACTGTATTCCGTTACAATAATAGCTGGTGACAGCATGGCGTTCACAGATTAAAACAAAAAAACCTACCGTAGTTCTCAAACAAATAGAAGTCTTCAAAATGTATTAGTGTTCTTCCAAAGGAAGACATCTTATCTTAAGGACACATCATGAAATTGTGCCAATATTTCAAACTTTAGAACTTGTTTAACTTTCAAGCACATAGATTAACCACAGTGAAAAGCATCAAACCTATATATTTAAATGCACCTGGAAACAATATTATCTAACAGTAAGCATTGCAATGGTTTTCCCAGTGAGGCTGCGTAGTCTCCATCCTCAAAGGCATAGATACTCAAAAGCTCTCCTTGGCAGTTGGCACTAAGTGGCCCTACTTGAGCAGGAGGAGTTGGACCAGGTGACCTCCAGAGGTCCTTCCAACTTCAGCCATTCCATCTTTCTGTGACTATTCACCAGGGAAAGCAATGCCTGCTCATTATTGGAACCATTGTTTTCATTCAGAACATGGGCAGAATGAGTGGAATCAAACCATAAAAGCAAGCACCAAATTTACACAAAAATACATGTTAACATTGTATTCACCTCCTGAAAAGCCACTTGCCAAGCAGAAACACTGCATTGATTATATGGTAGCAATCATCCAGTTCTAAATAGATAATCCACAGAGCAGAACCTCACTGAGTGAAAATAGTTAACACTGCAGCTTCACATCTTTGAGCAATTAAAATCAAGCTAATGGCTTTGTGATTTAGTTATCTAAGTATGGGTTATAGTAGCCCACCATGTAGGTCCTATAAAGGTTTCCATCAGATCTTGACTTGAGTTGGAAAGAGAAGCAACCCAGATCCTATTATAAAAACCATACATTACCTTTTCATCAATTATTCTTCTTCATTTGCTTGATTCTTAAATTATCTAAGAATCATTTATATTCAATGATATGTGATCATCTCAGTTGTTCTTTCTCAGTCTCTGACAATACACGACAAGATATTGAACACAAAATAAAGACTTAAGACATAAGGAAACTATTAATAAATGAATACGATAAATCCCTTAAAGACCTGTTATATTTTCTATTGCTTTTTTCACCTCATAAAGAAATAATGCTGCATCAAATACACAGATGTGAAGAAGAGGAGTCAAGAAAAACAGCCAAAACACCGTACTAAATACAACCTAGACCAGTGATATCTACCAGTTGTTTTCTCATTGGTTGCACGGATAGGTGAGTTTCCTAAATGACCAAGCAAACTTTAAGCACCATGGCAGCGAATCCTAAACTTAATATTTAAAACAAACAAAAAGACCAACTCTTGCTTTGCAAATATTTCTCAAACCCAGTACAAGTTAATCATGGTAGTTAGATGAAATAAACAGCTAGACTTTAAATTTCCTGTTTAAAGTAAGCGTACCTAAATATCATCCATAATGAATTATTAATGAATCAAAATGAAGTTTGGAATATGTCCCAAAGGGTGCTCCTTCCAATAACAGTCCACTAAAGTCCTCAGCCATGCTTCTACTTTGTGGCATGATCAAAAATCAGTTTAGTTAGTAGATATATCAACAAATACAAGCTAAAGTGCTTACACCTGGGTCTGCCTGTAAATCCGTTCTGATATCCAAGGAGACAGGATCAGAGATAGCTGTCACTAAGACACATGTTGCACTGTAGGCCCACACAACGCTGCTGGCTGCAGCAACAAAGAATTTTCTTTCGTGCAGTCCTCCACCAGTGACACTGGAAAGCATGAGAAACCTACTGCATAGCTTTATTATCTCCCCCAACCCTGGCAGTCACAGCAGTTATACCAGTAATGGAAGAAAATGGGATGATGGTGTCAAGTTGCTTATGTGCTCCTCAAGAATCTTAAAGATACTGCGATCTACTTCTCTACATCACTGAACTAGGACTCAGCATTTACATTTCTGGAGTGCTCCCCATATTGGATAAGGTATCTTGGCTTTGTTTATCTCTGAGAACCCTGTTGTACAAAAATTCCCCACATATATTCTTACCACTTACTCCATAAGAGATCTGGAGAGCTGAACAGCACTCATTCTGCAACAAAGCTTCCAATCTGCTCCCAGGCAGCCTTTTTCCAATCACCCAACCAGTCCAAGAATCTTCAGGACAACTTAACTTGCCTACCACAACTATTGCTTGCAGGAAATTGCTGGAAAACTGACAATGCTTTCAGGGAGAGGAAATGAAAAATACTTTTGTATAACACAAACTAAAGTAGAAAATTCTTTAAGGAAGATTTTCTTAATGTATCTGCAAGCAAATTACTGCATTTCCCCCACATATCTGAACTGTTACAACCTTTTATAGCAATAAGATACTTAAAATAGAGGCCAAAGATTTTTACAGGCCTGAGGTTCCCTGATAATTTCACAATGCTAAAGAACATATTTGTATTTTCAAATTGTGACACATGAACCTGTCATCTGTATACCTGACTAATTCCATGTTTGAATGTTATTTTCCCGGTTACTATGTACTTGATATTACCTGAACCAAGCACAATCATCCAGTTAGCTTGACATGTGTTCCTTAAGATCCTCAAGCTACAGGGGCTAATCCAGAAAGGATTTTAAAAACTATTTTAACAGGACCTGAACTCAAGCACAAAAGTACTTCTAATTGATTTTCTATTACCAGTGAGCGACATGACCAGGCATGCAGTTACCTTTGATTTCTCATGCTAAATAATTAAGTAGCAATCAGTCTCATATTTAAGTATAGGTAGACTTCG